TCAAAATTCAAATTGTTTAGTTTCTATCTTCCACACGTTGCAATAAAATTTTATATAACAATTACGGCGATTTTGTTACTCGGTATAATCATTATATATTCGTTAATCTTAGTGTGACGCGTGAATGACTTTGCTCGTTAGTTTGGAAATTACAGCCAGAGTACCCTGCAAGAAAGGTCACTTCGAGTTGTTTGATCGGCGGGATGGATGGTCAGATGATTAATTATACTACGAAACGCACAGTCATCTACAGCCACAGACAATCGGGAGCCGTGATTGTGGATGGGCTAAGATACATTCTGATGCGTAATTAATCGATATTCGGTCTAATTGATGCCTAACTCGATTAATAATTATGACGGTTCGTCGCGCATTCAATAGCCGTGCGCATATATCGGAGATCACCGAAAATTATCATCTCAATTGTTATTGTCCTTAACGTTTTAAGATATTATAACGAAAAATTATTACTATACAACATCTAATCATTTTACTCTCATGTATAGTAATATATACGGATTATAAATTCATTATTCACGCCTCTGGTTTAATGCGAATTTTCGCAAAAGGTAGGAAATATATTTGGTGCTATCAAAGGCATACCTCTGGGAGAGGAGCGTATAACATTTTCACACAACCGTTATATATTATTTATACTTTGGCAACCCTTTCAAGTCGAGGATGATTGAGTCCTGCATAATTCTTTTCGCCTTATCAAATGAAAATTTAATGAACATTAAATTAAATAGGCAGTGCGGGAGGGGGGGGGCTAATAACTCCGCAAGAGATAGCGCTCCTTTAATTAAGTCTGGGCCAAAGAACATGTGCTTCACCTTGAAACGAAAACGGCGCGCGCGCGCGCGCGCGCTGCAGCACTTGTGGAGATGGACGCGGAAAACGCGGTTGCAGGCTAATTTGCGGCGGTGCTAAACGAGGAGTTGCTGGGGCATCAAGAAACAGGGCTAGACAAAGGGTGAGGAAAGGAGGAAGGGACAGAGAGAGAGAGAGAGAGAGAGAGAGAGAGAGAGAGAGAGGGAGGGAGGGAGAGAGAGAGAGGAAACGAGGCAAACTCCAGACACACGGCGTGAACTCGCGTGAACTGCGCCCTGAGTAATTATCTTTGCAACGAGAAATGTTATTTACTCGTACCTGTTTGCCTGTTCGGACATTTGATCTTCCCTATGGAGAACCTGGCCATTTACTCGGCATGAACATTAAACATTTTACTGTCTCGTCTCGTCATGGCAACGCGCGAAAGATGCACGATTATAACTATCAAAGCATCTATTTCTACTTATTCGCGTATATAAAGCGAAGCGTAATAATTAACTGAGAACGGGAGACAATTCGGATAGAAAACATTTCCGAGCGGGCAGCAAATTGCAGATTGCAAGACCAGGGAGAGGTATAGAAAGACCAGCGGGTGAGGGGGGAGGGGGGAGAGGGAAAAAAGAAATGAGACACAGGGCTGATCCGGCCTTTGTGTCGTTGACATTCTGGTAACCCCGCTGATTCTCCTTCCATCGAAAGCCAGCTCTTTTACCGTTAGGTCGGTTTTATCAAACGGAACTAGCCATAATTGCATGGCACAATCACAAGCCACTTGCGGCTTTCTCTTTCGCTCTTTCATCGGCCGACTGCCGAGTTACATGTTTCTCCTTCTATTTCGGTCACCGGTCCCCCCGGCCCAATCAGCACCTGGATTAAATTAACTGCATCGGCACCTTTTGGATGGACCTGTTCATATAGTCGATAGTCGTTCCGATGGAGATTGCTAAAAAAAAAAAAGAAGAAGAAGAATAAAAAAGGGAGTCCTTTTGGAAGGGGAAGCACTTGACACGATTACGACGGAGGCGTTCGATGGAAGCGATGAGTTATAATTGGAGGATTATATGCAAGAAGGCGATTAAATGAGATGGCTGTTGAATGCGAGATCGGCGGTATGAAATAGCTAAAAAAAAAACCGCTATTACAGACAGATTGATATTGCTGCGAGAATGTATAGTTTAGTTCATAGGAATAAAAATATCATTTGTCTCTGTATAGCAGCAGTGAAAAGAAAAAAATAATTGGAAGCGCGACAATAGAGTTACGCCACAATAAACATAACTGTATCACAAAAATGTCGCAGTAGATGAAGTCAGCGTCTGGCCAGACCACGCAATCACTTCTGTCTATTTTGGCGAAAAAGAAGGTAATTATTTATTGCCCAGTGTTTCCCTCTTGTTTCATTTCTATACGTGCGGTGCAAAAAGAGACGTAAGAGACAAAGGAAAGAGAGGGAATTTTTCGTCCAGACAAATGAATGTCGGATGAAGAAAAAGGAAGACCGTAAAATGCTGTTATTTACGCGAGTTGAGTTTATACACTTGAGAGAAACGTCCTTAACGGAGTTACTTTCTTTGCCCTGAAATGATACGACGGCGAAAGTTGCTCTCTACTTTGAACGTGATCGTAGACCGGAAAATGCTACGGTGCAGGAAAGTGTTCAGGAATCTCGGTTAAAGCAGTGTTAAGAGCAGTTAAGAAGATAGCGCGAGCTAATAAGGCGGACGAGCGATAAGTGCATAGAAAGGAGGAAAGAGAGAGAGAGAGAGAGAGAAAGAGAGAAGATCGACCAGATAGTCCCTGCAGCCTAAGCACCCGATCGTCCACCGATGTGCTATATATGAGCAAGTGCACAAAGGTCGTCCTCGCATGAACGCCGAGTGGCTTTTCATAACTGCTGTGGACAAGTTCGTGCAGGTAAAACCAATGGCGACAGATAACGACGAGTGAGTAACACTCGGCGGCAGAACGACGGGATTCTCTTCGGCTTGCTTGTCACATTATGAACGACTGAATCGTCGGCCCTCCCCGCTTCGCGCCCCGCTTTGGCGTCACCGTAATGGGGTCGTCATCCCCTTCGGCCTTCTAAGTTCTCGCCAGCGACCTCGTGAAACATTATGAGAGGGGAGGGGAGGGGGGAACCATGACCTCCGACTTATGCACCGCTCGTCGCCTCGATGGAGATACGCTAACGAGACATCGACGACATTTCCAAGCAGATGAAAATGCAAATGCTCGGCGCAACTGAGTCCTAGAAACTATGCGATCTCTCTCTCTCTCTCTCTCTCTCTCTCTCTTCTCGTTTCTCGGCGCGATATGAATTTCATTCCGATTGAGACGTGACGGAAATTAAAGTAACCGCGTAAGATAATTATTATGACTGTCATGTTCTTACATTTTACATTCAGATAAATTAGATAATAATTGATAAAACTTGTGTGTAGGAGAAGCTTTTCATTTGATATCATTTTTAAGTTTTTAAATAGACATTTTGCTTTTCTTCTTTTTATATCTCTTTTTTGGAAACTAAGTACTTTAAAAAATTCTGTATTAATATTGTTCTTGTTGCATTTATAAACAATCGTCAATTGGAGTGGCGTATTATTTTAAAAAATATATTTCCGCGAACAACCGATCCTACATGTTAACATATATATTTTACATATATATGTGTATACAATTTACCAATTAATTCAAAATGGTTTTCTGTCTAAATAATATTACTGCATTTATGTTCTATGTATATGCAAATTGTTTTGAATGTTGAATTTTTGTTTTCTTCTATCGAAATAAAAATTCTGCATGATGACAGATTTTACGAACAAGCGGCAAATATATAAATTTAGAAAAGCCGCTTTGGCAGTCAGTGCAAATCTGAGGAAAGTAGGTTCTATAATAATAATCTCCCTTAGTCTTGGAATTTTCCGCGAGAGTCCTTTGAAACCTATGTGTCCGTGCTTCATCTCTTAATGATCATCCGTCAAAGGGACCTTTCTAATGAAATATTTTGCTATTTTGTTGCAGGCGGGATCCCGTATCGACGGAAAAAAGCTTTTTGATCTGGGCAAAGTCATTGAAGGATTTACGAAGGCGCAAGACGTAAAAGTCTACACGAGCGAGAGAGAGAGAGAGAGAGAGTCTAATTTCGCTTGGAAGTGAGGAAGACCGGAGTCCGGTAGATCCGAGAGAGGAAAAGGAAAAAAAGAAGGCGGAAAATGGTGGAAACGGTCTGGCACATGTTACGAGCGTAAAAGGAGGAAGGGTAGCGAGAAGAGAGCGAGCAGCGAGAGAGTAGGAAGGCCGTTACTCTCGCGATCGCCGTCGGTAGAGGCGATGATTGTGTCTTCATGTTATACCCGAAGGAACGGAGTAATACGTTCCGAGAAGAAGGAGCGTGAAGTATAGGGTGCATAAATCAGGACTCGCACAGAAATGAAGATTCTGTCCGGGAAGAGGAATAACGGTAGCGAGAGTGCAAAATTTTACGTGACATAAAGCCCTTTCGCTCAGTGGCACGGAAAAAAGTGCGCGTCTGATGATAAACAAACGGGGCGCACCGCTCTGTCCCTTAATTCTAAATTTCCATATCTGTCGCTAACGGCGGTATACTATAGTATATGTATGTTAAGCGCCAATACGTGTCGAGCACCAATTAGAACGGAGGGGCGCGTGATCGCGCTTAATTAATTAATTTCGCCGCCTCGTCAGTCGATTATGTCGTACCGTCGCACTCGACCGTGACCCAGAATTCGCAAGATTAATTACTCGCGCGAACCGAGTATAGAAACGCCTCATTCTTTCCGTTCAATCACCCGGAGCACGTCACGATCGTGCCTTCCTATATTCGGGTCCTCAAAATTTTTAATATCGCCGTTGAATCCTCGTTCCTCCGACAAGATCCATTCGCATGTCGATCCCTCCGATTAATACGCGCGGACCTTCCTTTAATGAAATTCCCTCTTTTGAGAACACTTAGATTGAAATTCGCGTATAAATATTATGCGTGTAGAAATATCACGCAGCGGGCGTATTTTTGTAATTTCCTTCGAGCTCTCTCATCCGTCGTCGGGCGGCTCCAGATCGCAGTGTTATGAAAATACCAGCTATTAGACGACGACGGGGATAAAACGACGGCGGCGGTGGTATATCGAGAGTTTCGTTCGATTGCGTAGATATTCAACGGTCGTGACGTATTGTTGTGCGCCCGCGCTCGGACGGAAAAAAAAGAGGAGGAAAAAGAGGAACGTGCGGAAGGAACGAGCGTGCAGCGGAACAAAAAACGCAGTGAGGGGGTAGCGGAGGCATGTCGGAGAAGATGATATCGAGGCGGAGAACTGATTGAAACGAGAAAGAGAGAAAAAAATGACAACTATCGAAGCCGTTAGTGAGATGAGTGCGGTACGCCGGGCGGTATGGTTCAGCGCGGTGCTATTCGCAGCGACTCCCTTGGCCTACACTCAAGTAACATGGACGCCGATCTACGTGGGAGGCTACAGTGAGTACAATTGTTATTCTATACGCTATATTATTGTTATTCTGTGCTGTTAGTGCGAGCGAAACGATGACAACGAAATAGGAAAGAAATTAGACTGTATTTGTGATAAAATTGGGTTACATATCTCTCTAGCTGCTCTTCCGCAGTTTTATACGTTTCACTTAAACATTTTCGGTGGAGCGCTTGTGAATGAAATGACTCGACTCTCGAAAAATATAAATATTATAATGAAATGTAACGTTAATGTTAAATTTGTTGGAGTTAAAATGTAATAATGTGTCAACTAGTTTCTTGCGCGCGTGACTTATTAATGTCATTTATCATCCCGCGTGATTTGTTCGCGGAACGTGCGATATTTTTGCAGTTGTCACGTACACTAATCTTCATTTTCATATGATAACGCATTATGATAAATTATGCTTCGGGCCGCGCTGCGCGTCGCAGCCTCGTTACGGGCTGAAAAAACATGTCAAAACGGGCGCACACGCGTTACTTCTTTTTTTTTTTTTTTACGCGACATATTTTCATTCGTCCGACGGAAAAGCGAAAAAGGAAGGAAAGGAGTGGCAGCAGTAAACGATGAAATATCGCGCAGCGTTATTTTTTCGCGTTTCTCCGAATCTTTTTTAACGACTCGAACTTTGGCAATCAGGGTTATAGCCGACGACGAACGGCGAGCGCGAAAGCGTGCTTCACGATAACCTGCACGAAGGATTGATAGTGTCAATTAACGAGCCACGGACTGGTTGAAAGTTCGCAAACGAGTACAATTAATGGCGCATCAGCTTTCTGCACGGCAATTGAGAAAAGAGACATCAAAGTGAAATGGACCCATCTAAAGTTGGGTAGAAGTCCTCAAACGCACGTTTTTATAATATTAACGGAATGAAATGTTAAAAGCTGCAATAATAATACTCCCTAAAATAATATAGAATAATAGATAATATAATATTTACTTTAATTAATTGATATATGTATATTGACTTAAAGTTTTTTTTTTAAAGAGATCGACAGCGTAATAAAATAGAAATTGAACATTAGATATTTTTCAAAGTATTTAATCTGATAATATTACTTGATATTACTTAAAAAAAAACGCTTTAAGGGGAAATTTTAATCGAAGGATAGTGGAACAAATTAGATGTTGCTGTGAGGATATGTTCTTTTAATGCAATCGTAAATTATTTTAATGATATTCTTCTGGAAAAATGAGTTCAGAATTTAATCTATTGCCCGCGTAACGAGAAGCGTCAAACCGGGAATGATGATAAATGCATAAAATACTCGCTTAAGAGAAAAGCAATCTCACGAGTATTCAGATCTCGACGGACATTAAATTTTTATAACCTGGGACATTTATCCGTTAATGCCGTCACTCCGCCTGATGGACGTCGCAATAATCGAATTATAGGAATGGTCCGTCACATAATTTATTAGACTGGACGGTTTTAATATAGTTTATTGTTAATTATCACCGTTGAAAGTTTAAATCGATAGCTATTACCCATCTATGTAGCATATATAGTTGTTTCGCTTTACGATCTCATAACTTTTGCGTATATTAATAAAATTGTATAGATGCTACGTTGATAAATAGATTGTGCGGTCTATAAACTCATTTAATGCGACGCGGGAGTATCGAATCGAGATACGGTATTGCATTGTCATACTTTCCTAAATATAATCGGATATATAAAATACGGCACTCATTTAAATGTGCTAACAAAATGGTTTTTGTATTATACCCGTGGAACATTTTACGTTATATTATTACAAATATTGTAAAGATCGCGAAATCGTGAAATGTCGACATGAAAATGGTCGACCGACTGTATTGGCTTGTCGATAGACAGTATTTTATCCTACATACCTCCGAGAGAAAACGCAGAGGATCTGGAATCGGTAACAATGTATCTACAGTGGGATCGAATTATCGCACACACAGAAAAACGATATTGCAAGAGGGTTTAGCCCAAGTAGAGTTTTTACCGAATGATCATTCGATCCACGTAGAACGGATTGAAAACCAATCACGCTTCGCTCCGTAGAAAGATATAGGGCCCCGGCTACCTGGAAATCAATCTGAAACGTGCCCGAAGTAACTCAATTTTCTCCAGTTATGTCTAAGGTTACCGTTGCAGGCCGCGTATAAGCTGATATGAGAAGGTGAGCGTCCTTGAGTTTGCAACTTCCGCGAAGTCTGATCGCAGTCTTAATCACTAGAACTTCATCGTGAGAAATTAAGCACTACCGTTCTACAACTCCCGACGTATCTTACCTTGTTTGTCTTAATGAACAAGTCTCAAAGTTGCGCCTTCCTTGCCTTTCCGAGATTTACTCGCTAACATTTGTAATAGGAAACACAACGAGCGATATCTCTAAAAATTGAAAACTAACATCCCAAGATTAGAGTTATCAGAGCCTACTAGGGAGTAGCTCTAACGTTGTGATATTTTAACGCTGGAAAATGTAGGATTTAACTCCTCTAGAGATATTAGTCATTATATTTCCACTTAGAAGAGAGAGAGATAGAGAGAGAATAATCCGTTATATCACGTTATGTTTCTGTTAACAAACACAAGTTCGGAGGAGCAACTTGCTATATAGAAGTGTACTCGGCACATAAGTTGCATAACGATGCAAATGTGATATACATTCACCGAGCCCGGAATGTCGGCCTTATTCAAAGTCCGAAGTATAGCGACGCACGGCATACCGTTATAGGAGAACTGAGAACCTACTATCGCGCGCCATTGTGGCGCATCAATCTTCTAGATCGTTACGCGTCCTCCGTCCATTTAGTAAGGTCCCTCCAGTTGGATCCCTGACTCCGCCGTAAGCGATGTCGTCGCGGTAACGACTGGGACTAGACAAGCGGATCCTTTAAAGCGCGATCCGGAGAACTGCGTGTAGATCCGCCGGAATAATTCAAGCCGCAAACATCATGCTCCGGTGATGGTGGGATCAGGCGGAGCGGGAACTCCGGGAGTGAGTTTGGGCGAAGGGGAAACGAAGTGGTGGAATATAGGATCGCCGCTGGAAGAGTCTCCTTTGCAGTTGGTTGTCGTCGGTGGCAGACTGTACTCTAATTAACGGCGGGTAACAAGGGTACCTGCGAGTGAGGGAGAGAGAAAGAGAGAGAGAGGAGGGGGAGGGGACAGAGAAAGGCAGAGAATCGTTGTAATAACTTGCGCCGTTGTGAAGCGATGATGGAAGAGGAGGAGGAAGGGAAGGAGAGATTGCATACAAAAGAGAGCGGCTGGCTGGAAGGATGGTGTATGAAAGGCGTGAGAGAGGAGCGATTCTCGAATCGGTATCTCAAGCGCGGCCCGTCTTAAAATGTTGTCGATTAATTAACACCCGAATATACCGGGCGCTTGCTGCTGTTTCTCGGTGTGGAAATTTCCAACTTTCGTGACGTGAAAAGGTTGAAACCCCCCGGTTGACGTCTCCGGGGTGAATATTGCGCGATATACTGAGAAAACTAACTACTGTAAGCAGAAATCGGAGATGGATAGTCTCTCCCACGTCGCGTTTAGTCGACATAAATGGGGCCGAAAGTCATTTGTCATGCGACTCCGCACGCCAGTTTGTACAGGTTACCAAATAGTAGACGCTTGATGAGAGAAATGAAGCTTCTTTAGAAATGAAGTTTTTTTTATCTGCGTAAAACATTTTCTCTCGCGATAAATTCTTTCTTTTTTACTCGGAAATTAGATACGTCATTTGAATAATAAAACGCCGAAAAAATTTTATTGTATTCAGTATATAATATCTATTTTTTTTCTTTATCTTTTGAATCTATATAAGTACGGAAAACGAGAAAAAAAGCGTTATAAAAAAAACAGATGCGCTTTATTCTTCGAATTTCGATGTGGCGCACCATAAAAAAACGGATCAGTGACGCGATATCTTGCGTACCACACAGCGCGTATATAGATGGCACGAAGAATGCATTGTGAGTCAGACATGCGTACTTAATTCACATATTACTCACACACGAGCTGTGTGAATACACGCAGCATGCTACCGGTTACGCGCACCTTGTCTCATTATTCGAACTTCAAAAGGATCATACTTCCATTGTGGCATAGCAGTAATTATATTCCTTTCATGCACCGTTATTATGTTACGTTCGTCATCTATGACGAACTGCTCTTTATAGCAGTAGGGTGATTGATGTTGTCTAAGCCAATATCCGTGATCGATAAATTATCCAATAATACTCGCCTCGTGAAAAAAAAAAAACGCGACGAGAGTGATTCACCGCGATTCCGAAGTGTCGGTTTGATTTAATCTCACAAGATACAATTGCTCAAGATGGCCCTTGAAAACGTTCTACTTCTTCGGAGTAGAGTTATCCACGTTATTCCTTGATGATGGACGAAGAAACGGATGGAACTTCTTTTACGCGCGCGTGTCCAACTTGGCGGATGAAGTCTCGGGGGGTTGTAAAAAAGACTTACGCTCGTAAAGCCGCGGCGAGATTCAAGTTCGAATGAACGCGAGTCGAATATCGCGATCAGTCTTCACGAGTCGCGGTCGACGATTCTCGAGTAAGGGCATACAGAAATCTTTCGTCATTTTCCCCTCTCCCCCCCCTACCCGCCATCTTTACCCTCTCGTTTCGCACCGTTTAATCTTATCACGCGCGCAATGCGGACTCGCGGGTGGTTCAAACTCGGCCGCTTACTACTTGCTGTCCCGAAGAGCAACTTCGTTCACGAGCCAAACTTCGGATCTCGCGCGCTTTTTATTGCTATGCTTTATTAACAAGACCACGGGAGCGTGTTACGCGACGCGAATTAATTACTTTGTGTTCGCGCCAAACTCTCTCTCTCTCTCTCTCTCTCGTTTCGTTTCTACAACGCGCGATAACAATGCGGCAATTTCTACTATGGTGGGTCAATCGTGTACGAGAAATGTATGTTAGAAGCGATTATTCGGACGACGGTGATAAATGATTTTATTGCAAAAGCGTTCGCGCTTAAAAACATATT